CGGGCAGTCGTTTCAGACATTTTAATAGGAATGTAGTGGTGTTTACATTGTAGTTTTAATTTGCATTTCCCTGATGATTAATGAAGTTGAATACCTTTTCGCATGCTATTGTCCCTACTGTCTCTTCAATACACTCTTCAGAACTTTTGCACATTTTTTATTGGGTTGTTTAACTTCTTATTACCGAGTCTTGAGAATTGTTTATAGTTTCTCGATACAAGTCCTTCATCAGACATGTGATTTGAGAATGGTTTTCCCAGTCTGTGGCTTGTCCTCCGGTTCTTTTAACAGTATCACTCTTAGACCAAACAATTTTGATAAAATCTAATTTATCAACTTTTTCTTTGATCATGCTTCTGAAATTATATCTAAGAAATGTTTGCCTAAGTTAGTGTCGCAAAGATGTTTTCTTACGTTGTCTTCCTAGAAATTTTATAGTTGCGGTTTTTACATTTAAGACTTAAAACATATTCTGTGTGCGCTGATGCTTGTAGAGGGTGTGAGATACGAATCGAAGTTCATTTTTTAACCTATCAGATACTGGGGTGACCCAGCACCGTTTGGTGAAAAGTCCCCCCTTTCCCCGCCCAGCCCCCTTCGCATCTTTGTCATGGCTCAGCGGGCGTGTGTTTACACGCAGGTCTGTTTCTGCACTCGCGTGTTTTCTGTCCATCTGTCTGTCTTCAGACCAGTATTACACTGTCATGACTACTGTAATTTTATAATAAGTTTTGAAATCAGGTGAGTTAGGCCTCCAACTTCGTGCTCTTTCAAAGTGCTTTCAGCTACTTAGGTCCTTTCTGAAATTCTGTAACAATTTTATAATACGCTTATTAATTCCTACATCACAGCCTGCTTGGATCTTGACTGGAATTGCATTGAATATGTAGATCAATTCGGGGAGAACCAAGAGCTTAACGACGCTGAGATTTCCGTGTTTCTCCGTGTATTTATGTCGCCTCCACTTCTCCCAGCGGCGCTGTGTGGTGAACGGTGCACGTATCTTGCACAGCTTTTGTCAGATTTACCTCTGAATGTTTCGTGTTTTGATACTATTGTAAATGTTATACTTTTATTTGAATTTCCAATTGTTTGTTACTGACACAGAGAAATATTAGTTCTAGCGTCACTTCATGTATCCCACTGGATTTTCTTGGTAGGTAGCCGTGTTCTCTGTGTCGCTTCCTCCCTTACAGGCTGGCTGCCTTGGCGCCTCCCTTCCCCTCTGTGCTGGGCGGGACTCCCACCCGGGCTGCGCAGTGGTGCTGACGGCGAAGGTCCCTGTCTGTGTGTGCTCTTAGGGGAAAGTGCTCAGTCTGTTCACCGTTTGGCATGATGTTAACGGTAGGGTTTTCTAGAGACGGCTCTTTCAGCTTAAGGAAGTTTCTTTCTATTTCTAGCTCTTAATCGAGAATGGATGTTGGATTTTTGCCAGATGCTTTTTCCTGCTCTGAAATGATCATTTGGTTCATTTTTCAGCTTGTTAATGTGGTGACATTGATTTTTTAAAATATTAAATCAACCTTGCATCCTGAAATAAACATTATATACTTATTATGTATTATTCTATTTATATATTGTTGAATTCAGTTTGCTAAAATTTTCTTTATAATTTTTGCATCTGTGGTGTACTGGTCTGTGGAGATATTGATGTGTAGTTTCTTTTAATGTCTTTCTCAGGAGTAAAATGAGTTGAGATGCATTTCTTCCCCAGCTTTCTGGAAGGGTTTGTTTAGATTTGGTATTAATGTTTCCTTAAATGATCTCTCCTCTGATCTTAATTATTTCCTTTTTCTGCTTACTTGATATTTCATTACTCTCCTTTTTCTAGTTTTTTTAAGGTGCTAATTAACTGAAGTCATTGTTTTGAGACCTTTTTTACTGATTTTACAGAATTATAAAATTTTGATATGTTGTGTTGTCATTTTTACTCATTACAAAATGCTTTGTCCCATGGATTATTTAGAAGTCTGCTATTTAGTTTCAAAATACAGGGGGATTTTACAGATATCTTTCTGTTATTGATTTCTAATTGAGTTTCATTTTATAACATCAATCTTTTGTTTCAGACTTGCTGAGACTGGTTTTATGGATCAGAGTATGATCTGTCTTTGTAAGTGTTCCGTGAAAACTTGAAAAGAGTTTGTATCTGCTATTTTGGGGTAAAGTGATCTATAAATGTCAGGACAAGTTGATTTTGTTGTTTATTTTACATTCTTATTGACCTTCTACTTGGTCTATCAGTTATTGTGAAGGGGCTATTGAAAATCTCTTAGCTATAATTGTACATTCTCTTTTTCAATTTTTTTCAGTTTTTACTTCATGTATTTTGCAACTCTGTGATGAGATGCATAAAATTTAGGACTATTGGTTCCTCTTAATAAATTGATCTCCTTTATTATTACAAAATGACCTTCTTTATCTCTGGATATATTCTTTGCCCTGAGATCTGCTTTGGTATTAATATAACCTCTTCAACTTTATTTTGATTAGTGGTAGCACTGTGTATCTGTTTTCTATCCTTTTATTTTAAATGTTTATATTAAAAGTATGTTTCTGGTAGGTAGCATATATTTGGATCTTGCTTCCCCTCCCCCATTGACAATCTTTGCCTTTTCACTGAGGCACTTAGACCATTTACATTTGTTGTGATTATTGATGTCGTTAGGCTTAAATCTCATCTTGCTGCGTACATATCTTCTGTTTGTTTCATATGTTCTTTGTTCCCTTTTTCCTCATTTTCTTCTTTTGCATTAATCGTGTTTTATGATTCCATTTTAACTCCTTCTTGACTTTTATCTATAACTTTTGTGATTTAGCGGTTGTTTTAGGGTTTATAGTGTACATCCTCAGCACAGTCTGCCTTCCAGTGAGGTTGTGCTACTTCAGATACAGCGTAAGAAACTTACAGTAGGATGCTCCCATTTCTCCTCCCCAGCCTTCGTGTTACTGTTGTCATACATTTAACTTTTGCATATGTTCAAAATCCCATTACATTATTATTTTTGTTTCAGTAGTTAATCAATTTTTAAAGGGATTTAAATAATAATAATAAAACAAGTCTTGTATGTTTACCCACGTGGCTGCCGTGTCAGGGCTCTTCATTTCCTTGTGTGGCTCTGGGTTTCCGTCTGGTATCATGTTTCCTTCTGCCGAAGAACTTCCTTTCACATTCCTAGTGGTGCATTTCTGATGATGAATTCTTTCAGCTTTGCTGTGTCTATGGAAAAGCCTTTATTTTGCTTTCATTTTTGAAATATATTTTGATGGGCAAATATATTTGTGCTGAGATGGCATTTTTTCCCTTTAAGCACTTTAAAGATATTACTCTCCCGTCTTCTTGTTTGCCTCGTGTCCAGTGCTCCTCCCTGTGTCTGTTTCTCTGACTGTGCCTAAGGTATTCTCTTTATACTGCTATTGAGCAGTTTGTTGTGTGCTTTGGTATACTTTTCTTCATATTTGTGCTTGGGCTTCACTGAAATTCTTAGAGCCATGGGTCTGCCGATTTCATCAAAGTTGGAAAAATGTTATTCAACATTTCTTCAAATATATTTCTGTCCCCCCTTCTCTGTCTTCTTCATGAGCTCTAATGACACATATTTTAGGCTGCTTAAATTTTTCCCACACCCCATAAATTTTCTGGGATTCTTCTGCTACTTTTCTCCAGTCTCCTTTTCTGTTTGCATTTCATTTTGGGTAGTTTCTGTTGCTGTGTCTTTAAGTTCACTCCTCTTTTCCTCTGCAGTTTCTATTCTGTGTTTAAGCCCATCAAGTGTATTTTTCATCTCGTGCGTTATAGTTTTCACCTCCAGAAGTTCGGCTGGGTCTTTCCATACTTTATGTCTGTGTCCTCTCAGGAGGCTCTGTCCTGGCCATGAGCAGCGTGTGTGCTCTGAGTGGCCCCCACTGGACGCGCAGAGGGGCCTCTGCAGGCCCCACTTCTCTCTCTGCTTTTCTCTCCCTCTGGTACGCTGCCCCGTGGACTCTGGCCACCTTGGTTTCCCCGATTCCCAGTTCAGGGGGTCTGCCACGCTGCGCCTAGGTTCCTTACTGTGACCACAGGCCTGGCAGTACCTTGGTTTTAACCGTCTGTTCAAGGAGGGAATACGGGGTCACTGGGAGCAAATGAGCCGGCGCCGGGGGTGCAAGCGGCCTCCCCAGGATGTGCAGTGAGAGAGCTGAGCGTGTGTGAGCACCATGTACTGCTTGTGGCCAGCGGGCTTGATGACTCAGTGTCCGGGTCCCCTCGTGTTCTGAACATGTTCAAAAGACCCACATCCTAAATCGGTTCTGATTGCGGTGGCCTGTGGCACCTGCGTGATATGAATAGTCAAGCTCAGCGTATGAATGGACGTATATGCTTTCGGTTCCCAGTCATCCAAGCGTCTTTTAAAAAACTTTCCACTCTGCAAATGAGCTTGTGATTAGTTAAGACGAGATAGTTTAAATAAAGTAAGAGAACGTGTAAACGCACTTGTTAAGACTTAGGGCTTCCTGTTGCCTCCCGGGTGTCACACATGCAAAGCCACGTGGCCTGACCGTGCCTGGCCCCTCAGTGGCAGGCGAGCGCGTGCAGGGCGAGAGCACCAGGGCAGCGTGACACAAGGGACAGCTCCCACCTGCATGACCTCCTGGGACTCTGACTTGCTCCCAGATGTGCTCGCCATCTGCCGAGCTGCCTGACTCCCCCAGCCCCGAGGGGCCGAGACGTACTCGTCCCCAGTCTCGGCAGGGTCTGGGGTTCCTGTTCCCTCCGTGCCCTGGCACAAGTGTGTTCTCAGCACCGCTCCTTTCCTGGGCCGCAGGCAGCAGCAGTGGCGGGGGCGTGCGGCCGCGGACTTGGCAGGCGCAGCTTGGGTCCCCGTGTGTCCCTCAGCAGACAGAGCCCTCCCACACCGCTCGCTTCCGCGACCGTGTGCGAGCGCTGCGTCCGCGCCTGGCCTCCCCTCCGCCAGCGTGACCTCGGGCTCCGCGTCACCTTCCTGTCTGCTCTCTTTCAGGCATCAGCAACGCGGAAGCACGGCAGCCGGGCAAGGCGCCCAACTTCAGCGTCAACTGGACGGTGGGCGACTCAGCCATCGAGGTCGTCAACGCCACCACTGGGAAGGACGATCTGGGCCGCCCGTCCCGCCTGTGCAAGCACGCGCTGTACTGCCGCTGGATGCGCGTGCACAGCAAGGTACCGAGGCCCAGCGGCCCCCTCCCCGCAGCGGCCCCCTCCCCGCAGCAGCCCCCTGTCCCCCAGCGGCCCCTCCCCGCAGCGGCCCCTCCCCACAGCGGCCCCTCCCCTCAGCGTCCCCCTGTCCCCCAGCGGCCCCCTCCCCGCAGTGGCCCCCTGTTCCCCAGCATCCCCCTGTCCCCCAGCGGCCCCCTCCCCGCAGTGGCCCCCTGTTCCCCAGCATCCCCCTGTCCCCCAGGGCTTTCCTCCTGGCACCCTCTGCGCAGCTCCCTACGTGGCCACTTGAAAGCCATTTGCTCCTTCCAGGTGTGGCCCTGGCTGCTCAAACGTTAAAGCCTTCCCAGTGGCAGCCCTTCCCCTGCCCTGCCACAGAGCACGAGCCCCTGCCCAGGGGCCTCTGTACTTGCTGGAAACTTCTCTCGCTGCTCAGACGCCGAAGACGATGATGAACAGGCAGGGCCAGTCACCCCCCAGCCCCTTCCTTCTCAGCGGCACGCAGGTCGCGCCGGCTCCTGTTCTGTTCCCTCCCGGGAGGTTTTCAATCCTTTTGTTTTAGCTGCAGGGCCCCATTTCCCCCAAAGTAAAACCTTATAAAATAAGTCGGGATGTTGCTGGTTTTCATTTATTTTTAAGTCACGCTGATAGCGTTTACTTATTATGAGGCCAGCACTGAACGTCAGAGTGGGGGTCAAGGACGGATGTCGCAGGCTCGGGAGGGTCCTGTCCCCAGAGACGTGGTGGCCTGTGCTGGCCGCCGGATTAGCCAAAAATCTACTCAAAATTGAGCCACACAAGGGGACGCCTCAGCGTTGCTCAGTGTGAGAAAATGTACGGAACACCAGCGGTGCTTTTTTAAAATAGTGAAAAACGTTGAAAATGAAATTCGAGCCGACCGTGCGGTCTGGCAGGAGCGCATCTCGGAGCGCGGCTGTGCCCCTGCCTGGCTGGTTGCCCGCGGGACCGGCGGAGACGGCGCAGCCTCCGGACGGCGCCGGGCTGTGTTCCGTGCGAGGCCGTTCCCGTGACAGACGGCGCCTTCGACCAGGGCGGTTTCCCCCAGAAGCCAGTGCAGCACTAAACGCCGTTTTTTTGGCATCTTACCAGGTTTTATTTTCATCTGCTGCCACTTCAGCAGCTGTCCTTGTTTTGTCCTCCTACAGGTCCCCTCGCACCTACTGCGCTCCAAGATCACTAAACCCAACATGTACCACGAGTCCAAGCTGGCAGCCAAGGAGTACCAGGCCGCCAAGGCGCGTCTGTTCACGGCCTTCATCAAGGCGGGGCTGGGCGCCTGGGTGGAGAAGCCCACGGAGCAGGACCAGTTCTCGCTCACGCCTTGACCGCGAGCACCACGGGGGCTGGGGGTCCTGGCGTCGGCCCCCAGAGCCTCACGTCTGAACCGGGGCAGTGGCTCACCCTGGGGAGGGCTCGGGGGCGTCCAGAGTCGTCCCGGCATCTCACATCTGGACCGGGCACCGCCTGGGGGGGCGTGGGGGCACGTGGGACCCGCGTCACCGCGCCACACCTCTCTGCCACCGCACTTCCCCTTCGAGCTGTCCAGCGGCCGCTTTCGATCTCCGTTTACGTCTAGGGATTGAGTTCTACTGAGTAGGGCTTCCTTAAGTTTAGGAAACTAGAAACTGTGTGAAATTCTTGAATAAATAATTTATTCAGAGCTAGGAATGTGGTTTATAAAATAAGAAGTAATTATGTCAGGTCACTTTTATGCCACGTTATTTTAATTGCAGAGAAGCATCTATATCGGGGAGATGAGAATGTAGAGGTAGCAGTAGCAACCAAGGAGCGCGCCACGCGTGTCCAAACTTAGGTCTTGTTTCTCGTGGGCACTTCCGTGGTCAGTTTCCACGCCAGGCTTTACCGTGTCCCGGAAGCAGACTCCCAGCATGACGTCGGCAGCCCCGTCGCGCACGCGGGGTCCCGCAGTCCAGACCCAGCCCCTGTAGCCGCAGCCTCCTCTAGAAGCTTCTGTACTCCTTGTAGGATCAGGTCATGGAACATGTTCTTGGTTTACTTCTAAATAATTACAGAAAAAACACGCCAGTGACCCTGTGCAGGCCACTCACTCGGGTTTTTAAACAGTCCTCGGCCCTCGCGGACTAGAAGGCATCGGAAGGGCCACCGCGTCGCGTGGGGGCTGCAGTTCCCTCTGCTGCTCTGCCGGGTCTGACCGAACGACCGCCCAGAGCGGGTCACGGGGCGCGAGCAGGAGCATCTAGGTAGATGCTCATTCCTGGAAAATGCCACTTAAGGGTGTTTTTAAATTATTCTTTCCAGCTTTATCAAAGACATGTTTGAAAAACAAAGCTTGCGGGCTGAGAGCCGTGAGGCCGCGTGCCACAGGCACGGCGGAGGCCACCTGGCAGCGGTGCCTGCCGAGGGAGCCACGGGAGGTCAGGGGCGCGAGGTCAGGTGCCCTGGTGTGGACGCCGCGGCCAAGCCCAGAGGGTTACACCAGTTGCCTTGTCACCTCCGTCAGGATGGGGAGGGCTGAGGGGGGCTCTGTTGCTGGTGCAGCGCCATCCTCCGGGCCCTGGGGGTGCTGAGTGGTATCCTGGGGCCGTGGGCAGAGAGGGGTGCAGAGCCCACCCCACGGCATGCAGCTGTTCCGTGTGGCACCGAGCTGTACGCTGGACATCGTGTGTCCTTTATGGGCGCAGGAACCAGGAGCAGAAGGGCCAGGCCGCGGGGGTGTGCGCGTGCCTCCTGGTGCTGGGGCACATGCCACGCGACGTGGCGCGGTGCCGCAGGGCTGGTCCCAGCGTGGCAGGAAGGGGCACCGCTCGGGGCTCCGTGTTGGGGAGTGGACATCAGCCTCCCGCCAGCCTTCTGCTGCCGGAGCCCGTCGGGGCCGGGGGTCTTGTTCGGTCGAACGTGCGGGGCTTTCTCTGCCCCTGTGGAGGAGAGGTGTCTGGGGCGCCGCCACCCGTCCCCACAGCAGGCTCTTGCACACTCTAGAAAAGCATCCTATGAGTTTGTGCATTTTTATTCTTGTCTCTATAAATTGTATTTTTTCTAATGGGGATTGGGAGATAGACTTAGTTTTTAAAAAACTGTATGGGTTTTGGTTACAC